GTATTATTCAATATAGTTGAGATAAATTTGCCTTTAAATTCTTCTGTCTGGGTCTGAATATCTCTATAATTCCTTTGACAGGTTTTTCTAAAGCTTTTACCTTGGCTCTCAAATTGACCAACCCTTTAAATGCTAAAATAAAACGAATTAAACAAATAATATTATATGTTATCTTAATTGAGAAATAAAAATTGTTAAAGGCTTTTATTCATGTTCATAATTATTATAGCCCTTTAGTGTTGTTTCCCAAATTTGTTTTGGTTCCTCAAGCACTTTTACAAAGAACACCATAAAGGTAAAAGAGAGAATTGCTTATATTTTCCCATTTGTAGAGCCTTTTAATTTTTTAATTTTTGCATATTAAATGTATGCAGGTATAGCTTTAATATCTTACTCATCACACATATGTTGTTTTTAAATCTTATCTTTTATAAACCTTTTGTTATTTCTGTTATTTTTATTTTTAGGACAAGAATTATTATATAAAAATTTATTTTAATCCCAAAATATTTTGGACACTTGTTTTCAAGACAAGGTTTCTTTGTAGCCATGGTTGTCCCTGAACTTGCTATGATGAGCACACTGGCCTTGATATCAAGGACCCACCTGCCTCTTCCTCCTGAGTGTTGGTATTAAAGACATGTTCCACTGTGTCTGGTTTGGTGGGATATTTTGAGTTCCATTATTTAACTGAAAAGGCCTAGTCATTTTCATCAGTCAAAGGAATTTATTGTAGGCACTTACAAAAAAATTTTTTTAAAGTTTCACACTTTTATAAGTAAGTTTGGAAAGCTAAAAACATCTTCAGCAAAACCCTAAGTGGCAGTAGTTTTATGAACATTGCAGCAAGCACTCGTTCTATAACTTCAATGACACACAACTGAGTCTGGTAGTGTGTGCTTACTGGAGTTACAGACAGTTGTGAGCTGCTATGTGGGTGCTGGGAATTGAACCCGACTCCTCTGGAAGAACAACCAGTGCTCCTAACCACTGAGCCATCTCTCCAGCCCAACCAACTTATTCCAAGCAAGTTTATTAAGAAGTATAATATCTTATCTACTATTTTTTTTTTTTGTTTTTCGAGACAGGGTTTCTCTGCATAGCTTTGCGCCTTTCCTGGAGCTCACTTGGTAGCCCAGGCTGGCCTCGAACTCACGGAGATCCGCCTGGCTCTGCCTCCCGAGTGCTGGGATTAAAGGCGTGCGCCACCACCGCCCGGCCGCTTATCTACTATTTTAAGGGGAAAATTTGTCAAGGTCAGTAGAGAGCTAAGTCAGGTAATGTTAGCAAAGAGAACACAGGATACCACAAGCACAGCTACCTAAGGACTGATAACCATTGCTCAGGGGGAAATGTCAGGTCCCTAGAAACAACATCCTTGACTCCTACAAGGCATTGACTCTGGTATCAGACAAGCCTTGTCAAATGTGTTCTTGAACAAGGACACAGAACCCAAGTTCTGTTTGTACTGTCATAAGGGCCTCTGAGAAAGTCTTGGGTGTATCTGGCTCCCCAAAGGCTTGACATGGCTATAGATCTTATGGACTCACATCAGCTGGGTTTAACTGCATAAGGCTGCATAAGATATATCCAGCATAATATCTGATACTTTGGGGAGGAGCTCTCCAGGCTCCGCCCTTCACTGTGGAGTAACAATTGACAGTTACTAGGAGTAGGGGGCAGAAATCATTCGATCATTCTTCATATTCTCTCTCTCTCCTCTCTCTCTCTCTCTCTCTCTCTCTCTCTCTCTCTCTCTCTCTCTCTCTCTCTCTCTCCTCCTTCTTAAAATATGAATGAAGAGACTTGTTACCATCCCCACGACTGCCTGGTTTTCTGTCTTCTATCTCCATCCTCTTACCAATGGTAATTCTTCATTGTTGTTTTTTACAGTAAACCATGATTCACAATATTCTTCCTATGGCTACTTCTCATTCTCTTTCTTCTTCCCCTATTTATTTGCTGAATTTCTATGTGGAATTATTTTCTTCTGCTTGAAGAATTTTCTTCAGTATTTCTTTTGGTATAGACATTTAAAAATGCATTTTTGATCAATTTCACCTTAAACGGAGAGGTGACCTTTCCCAGGAGTCTATTTCTATTTTTTGCACACAGAATGATCAGCTGCAAATGAAAGAAACAGGTACATCCCAGTTCAGCTTAGAGAACTAGTGAGTTGAATGTGGTTTCTCAAGGGATACAGTTGACTTTTGGGTCCATACATTACAGAAAAGTCCTGGACACATATGTGAGTGATGACTCATAAAAACTGTGTTGGAAAGATACAAAAATAGCAAAATGTCATGAAAACTATCAGCCCAGGTTACCTCTGCCTCACTGCCCTTGGACCCTCTGCTTTTGACAACCTGACATGGTAGAGAGACTAGATGAATGAGGAACATAAAAGAAAGTGTACTATGAGGCAAAAGGTCACAGCTTTTGGAGCAAAAGCCGACCACATTCGATATGACCCTTGAAGTCTGATGGTTGTTTAAATTCATACATGTGTAGTTACAAGAGCGATGGTCCCACAGACATACTTGTTCTCACCTGCATCCTGTGTACTGAGTGCTTTATATGAAAAACAACTTTTCAGATGTGATTAAAGACCTTGAGATGAAGAATTTTTCTGAATCAAGCTGGTGTTCTAACCTAATCATGGGGTTCCTCAATAGAGAAGACAGGTCACCAGAGAAAAAGTTGACGATGCTACACTATTGGTTATGAAGATGGAGGACAGGGCCCTGGCCATGGAAAGCAGGTAGTCTCTAGAGACTGTTAGGTCAAGGAAGAGTTTGCCCTTAACCCTCCAAAAGGAATGTGGCTCTGCTGTAAATTTTAGTCCAATAAGATCTCTTCTGAACCTTTGGTCTTCATAACTCTAATAGAGATTCATTCATGTTGTTGTTGTTTTAAGCTTACTTATACATTTTTAAGAATTATTTATTTTATATTCTTGTGTATAATTGTTTACCTGTTGGATATGTATGTGCATCATGTGCATACCTGGTGCCTGTAGAGGTGAGAAGAGGGCACTAGATCACCTGACACTTGAGTTAGGGATGGTTATGGGCCCCTACAGAGTGTTAGGAACCAAACCTGAGTACTCTGCAAGAGCAGTCAGTGTTTTAAACCACTGAGCCACATCTCCAGACCATCCATGAGATTTTGCCTTTAAGTCAGAATGCTAATACAAAACTAGGTTTGTTTGTTTGCTGTGGTTTTTATTTTGGAGACAGGGTCTCCCTATATAGCCCTGGCTGTCTTAGAACTCACTATGTAGACCAGGCGGGCCTCAAACTCATCTTTGTGGTTCTGCCTCTCAGGTGCTGAAATAAAAAGCATGCATTCAGCCTAAAACCATTATATTATAAATTTTTATATCTTTTGTAATTTGTCCAATAACTGCATCTAAACAATGCTAGACACAGGAAACAGTGTGAATGTGTGGATGTCTGGGTTCTGTGGCTCACTGCTGTTGCCTTGTATGACAGAAGCATATGTACTGTTAATACCAGCCAGGAAACAGTAAAACTCAACTATAATTTCCTTCAACTAGTGGTAAATTCCAGTGACTATGAGATGGCTTGAACAGCTGTCCCCTGTAAGTGACAGCAGTGTCAGTCAGAGGCTACAGTCTAGTGAAGACTACTGCTATTTTCATTTTCATCTCCATAATTCAACAGGGGATGAACTAGGCCTTACAGATTTACAGAGCCTAGTGAGACACATTTTGGATAAGCTTGTAATGCTGCCTCCTTTGGCCCATTTTGCATATGAAGAAATCCTGCAATAAGAGTTACAAAATTTATCAAGGTATTGGATTGTAAATAGGAGAATCTAATTTTCTTGGTATGTGATTTAGAAGCCAGTTTGTACATGAATATTATACCAGCTAGGGTCACAGTGTCAATCAAATTCCTTTTTGAGTTAATCTTCTAGTGTCACAATTTCCTCTGAGAACATTCCAACCTTGAAAAAAACCAAAAAGTTAAACCACTCAAAATAGTTTCAAGAGGTCCCTCAACCTGACCAGATTTCCAAGTCCCCTCCTCTTCAAGAATGTATATGCAGTACGAGACTGCTGAGAGTCACCCTCAGACAAGCCCAGCTGCCTGGGAGAAGCAGAGAAGCCAGAAATCTGTTCATTATGTTCAAGGGTTCCAGCTTTTATGAGGGGTCATTCATGCTAGAGTGGATTTTGGTGATATAGCATCTCTGTGTCAATTCTGATCTTAGACAAAACTCCTCACTCCTCACCTATATTTCTAGAAATAATCCCAATAAAACTATAAGTTCACCAAGTTGGAGTTTGATGATATCTGTACTTTGGTCTGTCATTCCCTCCCTATCTTAGGTGAGTACATGTGTGTCTTGAATCTCCCCAGAAAAGTCTGTCACACAACAACCATACATAGTTTAATAGTATAAAGTTATCTGTTTTTCTGATTTTTTTTGTAGAAAAGTAGGTTTCTGCATGAAGAACTTAATTGAATACAACCCAATAGAGAAACCTCACAATCACAGTCCTGAGACCCTGCCTTCCTTATGCATATGGTTTGAACATTCATGTGTTTGACACACTGTGCTGTTCTTGAGAATACAAGAATAAGTTACACATAGGACTTTTCTGTTAGTTTATTGGAAACAAAATGGACTGCAAAGCAAAAGAGCTAAATGAAGTAGGACAAGAACCACTGAGAAAAGTATTTTCCTGAATGAGATATGCTTGTATTTATCTAATAATAAAAATACAGACTCTAGACAGGCATAGTCATTGCCTGATATGGTGACCCACACCTTTAATCCAAGCACTGGAGAGGCAGAGGCAGACAGACCTCTGTGAGTTTGAGGCCAGCCTGGTCTACATAGTGAGAGCTAGGACAGCCAGAGCTACACAGTAAGATCCTGTCTCAAAAAAAACAAAAACAAAAACAAAAACAAAAACAAAAACAAAAACCAAGCAACAGCAGCAACAGCAACAACAGCAAAAACAAACATAACAAGCACAGTCTCTATAAAAGGTAAACTTAAAATTTTTTATTACACCTAACTATTTATTTGTGTGTATGTGTACCACCATAGGACAATTTGTGGGATTTTTCTCCATCTGCCATGTGGGTCCAGGTTGAACTCAAATCATCAGGCTTAGTCTATATGTCAATAAAGTAAGAAGATAGAATTGACTGAAGACATGCTTTGACCTCTTATTTCGTCCTTTTTAGGACTCATCAGTACAGTATAGCATATAACCAAAAAATTAAATTATTTTGTCCTTAAAACTCAACTGTGTGTAAATGATTGCAAAATTAGGCAGCTAATGCTTTTTAAAATGTCCAGTAATTAACTGTCTTATTCTTCATTAGCTTCATTTCAAACTAGGATAGTTTTAAGTGAAGCTAATAAAGAATAAAGTTCAAATGACATACTCATGCACGAAAGTCTCAAAAAAAGTTGAATTAAGAAAGTAAAATGGCCTTTGCTTGGATCACGCTCTTAGTCCACTGTAATTAAAATAGGAGTGCTGAGGAGTAACATGTAAAAACATTTTGACAATGTTCACAATGTGTTAATCACAGAGTATACAGTATTGGTTTCAATACTGGCTAGATATCACTTTGTGTTGGTTATTGAACTTTGCAAAAGAATATCAACCATGCGTACAGAAATACTTAGAGTCCACAGATCAACTATCACTTTTCTTGTGATTACTGAATCATTTCCATGGGTTTAGTCACCTTGAATTTTAAGGTCCCCTGCATTCAAAGCAAGGACCAAAGAAACAAATTTCATATCTGGTCATACAAGTGGAGCTAACTAATACAGATATGACTATAATTTAGGTTCTTGCTCAAACACTGATTTAGTTTAGAATCGTCCATGCTTTCCCAAGAACCCTCATGTATAATCCTCTAAGTGAGTTTTCATCTTTGCTGTCAACACACATTATCATTGGATTTTGATGATGATTTTAGCAGATCAGGAGTGGAGTAGCAACTGTAGATAACAGGTCACACATCTGTTTCTCAGGCATGCTTTGGCACATTCCCTACCCTGCATTTAAAAACCACTGGCCCTTGTAAAGGATAGCTGAGGCTTGCTACAAATCCACTTCCTGTATGTGTAGCCTCTGCCGCTGCTGATCCCATTGTCACTCAGGTAGACACATTCTCCTTCTCCGCGGATAGGAACCCTAAAACAACAAACAAACAAAATTCAGCACAGGCTCATACTGACTCAGTCCAGCAGTGTAATCTTGCCCATCTCCATTGCTTATTTGTAATAAGAATCAAAGAAAGGCAGAGTCCATGAGGAATCACCTGTACTTGTTAGACCTAGCATCCTTTACGTGCTTGGGGTTCAGTTTGAGCACCACATCTTTGTCATTCCTCCATATTGACCTTATAAAGTATGTAAAAGGCATTGGACTGGTGCTTGATGTTATGTTCAAATGAACTTCTGCCATGGGTGGCCTCACAAGGGTGAATTTTTCAATTCTGTCTTCAAGTATTTTTGCACATGTATGAAAGTGGGAAAAATCCAATTCTTAGTAAATTTCTGAATGGTATTTAATGATGGACATGACTGGCTCTGTGTTTTACTGTTCCAGTGAAATGGTTCCATTCAAAATGGCTAGCTATGCTCACATCCAGGAGCTGTCTGGGGTGCTTTTTGATGATGAGACTTGAGAGGAGGTTCCCAGTGTGTTTGGAGTCTCTGCTTCTGTGACAGGTGCAGCTGTGCAAACAGCTGTCTGACAAGTTTTACCCCAGCTGTTCTGCAGTGGCTTCTTGGGGTTTCAGAGCCCTCACTGCCCATCCTAGATTCTGTCTACATCTCACAAGGGTGTCTGTCATCAATGAAAAGATTTCAATTAGTGATGAGCAGACAACATCTACCCCAGATGCCATTATCATGTTAAAGATCTTGAGTGAAATCACACTAAGTGAATGCTTTGAAAATAATGGTCAATAAATGGAAACACACAGAAGAATTTAAATTGGCAGGGATGTGGGATTTCCTGGGGATTATCTATTACATATAAGCACATGGCCTACCTCTGAGGCACACCTCCAACTTAAGGTTTATTTTTCTACCTTTGTGGCACAGTTGGCTTCACATGACTCAGTCTTTCTTCTCTTATAGTCATAACTCACATAAACACAATACATGAATGCAGTAGAGGAAAAGTGGTTTACAAACATACAAGTTGTTATATTCAGTGTTGTTTGTCCACCTCCAAGAGTGCTCTGGTGACTCTCTGTACAGGTCTATCCAGTGGTCAGAATCCCCCTTGTGTCTCTTCAGGAAATTCTGTCATAAAACACAGAAAGCAAAGACATGTGTCTCTCAGCTTCAGATGACCTTTGAGTCTCTGCCTTACAGCCTTCTTTATGGACAGCAGCAGATGTAACAGAGGGTTATTGACTTTGAGCCATAAGTGCCCTCAGTTCTCAGTGGATGTAATTTATGTCCATAATCAAGTACACTGATGACTCCCCATCTGATTGTGGCTGGGAAAGTCCCTTGCTAAGCCTGTTCTTGCAGCTCTTAACAGTTGTCACCTTCAGTGTGCAACACCTGCCACCATGGATGAAGACTTACATGACCATCAGGTATCTCAGTAGACTGCATGCCTGACGTTACATATTGACTGTGAACACTGCATGAACCATGTCTCTGGAATGTCTCAGGGTTCCAGTCAGAAGCAATAACATCAGCAGACGGCACACACTGTTGCCATGTCCCCAGTGCCTAGGGTAGGATCCTGCCTTGTGTTTCAGCCTTAAGCTCCCCATTTCAAGGAATTGCACACTCAGTGTAACAAACAACAAACCAATTCCTGAGCCTTTCTTACCAGCTCCTCCAGGCTGTCAAATCGAGCTAGATGGGCCTCTTGTGCCATGCAGGAGGTCTGGCTAAATGTCCAGCTTCTCAAGTCTTCAGAAAAATAAAAACATTTACTTCCAAATCCAACCCAGTCTCTTGGGCAGGTGGTATGGCAAGGCCCACAGGTCTTATTGACTGGTCTCTCTGAAATGCAGACAGTGCCATGAAACATAATAAAGAAGCAATTCCCTTTGGCTCTACCCAAATCCCAGTGAGGTGTGTTCTTGGACTGTACTTGCGTAAGTGATCATTAGCAGACCCCTCCTAGTATGAGGATCACCAATCCAGAGCCTTCCGGTGGGACTATGAGGAACAGCTTTCTTTTTCCTTCTTTGTATTATATGTTTTGAGACGGAACCCTGCCTGGCCTGGATCTCATGTGGCCTGCACTTATCCAGAGCTTGTAGTAATCTTCCTGGCTGTGTCTCCTGAGTGTAAGGACTAAAGATACCATACCCTGTGAGGAAATCATTTCTAGGCCATCAGCCCCTTAGGACTGTTCCTGATTCCTGGAATTCTATAGCTTCCTTTCCTATAGTCCTCCTTCATATCCAGCTTTTCTCTTGACAAAAGAAAGAAAACTCCTTACTTGCCTGGATTTTACTATAGAGAAATGTCAGTTTGCAAAACATGATATGGTCAAAATAGATCTTGTATACCAAAACTTAGGCCAAGACCTTCTTATAATTCTACCACAACCATTAAGCTTATATATAAACATATGCTGGCTCTTGTTAGAGCCAGTCAGGATGCTGTTATGAAGAAACATGACAACAGATGTTAGAACCATATGCAGAAATAAGGAAATTTATTTCCTGCTGGTGGGAGTACAAATTGATACAGCCAATGTGCAAGTTCCTCAAAGAAATTAAAAATAGACCTGCTGTGTGACTTAGCTATGCCACTCCTCGATATATATGAAGAGAACACATCCTACCATGGAGAGTTTTGCACATCCATTTTATTGCTGCCCTATTTACAATAGAAGGAAATGGACCTAGCCTGGATGCCCATCTACTGAAGAATTCATAATAATATGGAACACAACAAAATTGAATAATATTTCAGCCGTAAAGAAAAATGAAATTTTTGTAGGAAAGTGGGTGGACTGGAAAAGTATGATATTAAGTGAGGCCACCCAAATTTAGAAGGAAAGAGACCCATGTACTCTGTCACATTCAGTCCCAGCCTGTGATGTACAGTATAAACAGATTTGAGTGTGAGCATGGTGTAAGACTTTAGAAAGGAGAACAAGGTAGAGTGATGTAAGGTGATGAGGAAGGACAGGATGCAGCAAAGGGCACATAAGTTGTGAAAAAGGGTTACAAAGAGAATTGTTTTTCTAGATTAAACTCTGCCACAGTTCATTTAACTGACATATAAAGTCTAAAACCACAACTGAATCTCCACAGCTTCTGAGTGGCTAGCCTAACTGTATGGCAGTTAGGTGAGATACCTGAGTGTGCGACTCGGCAAGTGTTGGATTGGCTGTGTTAATGGAGCTGTGTGATGTATTCATCTGAGTCTATTATAATTAGGTGATTATGTATGTATGTATACACACACATTCATATATATGTGTGTGTGTGTGTGTGTGTGTGTGGTGTGTGTGTATGTGTGTGTGTGTGTGTGTGTGTGTGTGTGTGTGAAGCTCTTAATGTCACAAGGTTTCAGAGGACAGTTTAGAAGAATAATAGACATCTTATAACTTTACCTATTTTTTACTTTAACAGGTAAGAATGAACACACTGCTCTTTCAAAGGTCTAGTGAGTTCCAGGAAACATATGACTTGATAAGAAATATTAAATATCAGAAATGACTCCCCCCATTAGCGAAGGTTTTTTTTTTTTTTTTTGTAGCTGTTCTAAGTTCCCATACCCAATACCACGACACTTCAGTGAAAAGGACAAATGCAACAGGCAGTGAGAGTCACTTCTTCTACCTGACTCTTTTCAGAGCTATGTAATAGTTTAGCTTACACTGACTAAGACTTGTTGGCAAATGTTTGTCCTGTTTAGATGTGTGTATTATTCATTGATGTGGTTAAAGTGATTTTATAGAACAATATCATGAAATATTTCTCCAGCTATGGCAGCAAAGCTGTTCTAGTTTTTATCACATTATGCAGAACAATCTACAGCTAAAAGCTTAGGAATCACATATTTCTGGAACTTTCTGTTTAATATTTTCAGACCATGGTTGTAGACATTAACTGAAACCATAAGTCATGTGGAGGGTGAGGTTACTGTACTGTTCCTAACCATATTCTCACTTCTCTTTAGCTACAGCAGCATCCTTGTGAGTCTGTTCCAGTTTTCCTCTCCTTGCTCTCTGCCTTGAATAGATCCCCCAGGTGGACATGTGTCTAAACCTTTGGAAATATTGGATATTTACACTATGACTCATAACAGTAGAAAAATTACAGTTATGAAGGAGCAATGAAAATAATTTTATGATTGCAAGTTATTACAACATGAGGAAATGTATTAAAGGTTCACAGCACTAGGAAGTGGTTAAAAACCACTGCTCTAGACGTTACTAGCTGTTATCTTCCCAGGGAAGCCTGGCTTCCCGTGCACACCACAGCCTGTGCTGTTCCTTCACTGCATCTTCCTGCTAGACCCCAAATTCCCAGAGAACAGGAATTTCCAGTGAGTTTTCTCTCCAGCCCTCCCCACAGTGCCTGGCTCACAGTGGTCAGTAAGTTTAAGTGACAACGTGGATGTGGACAGAACGCTGCAGAACCTGGAGATGAGTCACTCACCTGACAAAGCAACGGACAGTGCAATTACAGCTGCAGCGAGGACGGCGATCACTGCATAACAGCAGTAGAGCTTAGCAGGGGACTCGGGGGAGACGATCCTGAGACATTGTACTTGGAGCTTTTTACCTGAAAACATAAGTATGAGAGTATCAATCTCAAGAACCTTTTAGGGAAAAAGATAAATCTACCTCAGAATCATCTGTAGGTTTGGCTTGTACTTCCTTGTTGCAAATGCCCTCCATGGAAGGTCTTGGTTCATAAATGATATCCTTGGCTTACAGAAGACTGGAGGAAAGGGAAAAATAATTTTTCCTATGGAGTCTTCCAGTTAATAAACTAAGAACCAACGAAGGATCAAGAAACTGAAAGAGTGAAAGTCAAGTTGAAAAAAAATCATAAACAACACAAACTACCCATAGGTTTAGTTCCATAAGAATAGACCTGGGTAGGACTTATTGGACCATAATAATAAGAAAAAAAGAAACAAAATCAATGTGCCAGGTATGGTGGCACAGGACTGTGATTCTAACACATGAGAGGGTGAGGCATGAGAGTCAGGAGTTCAAGGACTGTTTTTACTAAATAGTGAGTTTAAGGCTAAGAGGGGCTACATTTGACTCTATTCTACCTACCTATCTGTCTTCCTATCATCTATCTATCTATCTATCTATCTATCTATCTATCTATCTATCTATCTATCTATCAATCATCTTTTATCATTTGTTTTTCTAATCATAATGAACTAACCAAATGAAATTCTGTGCATTAACAGAATAAGAAAATAATAAGGAGCATTTCAGAAAAATCAGCAAGGCATGTGCACAGAGTCAATGTAGATCCTCAGTAAGAACTCTCAGTGTATTAGGAATTGAAAAAACTTTCTCAACCTGACAAGATGTACTTATGATAAAGTAAAACAAAATTATAACTACAGCCAGCATGAAAATTATATATGTATACACAATTATATATATATATATATATATATATATATATATATATATATATATATATATATTTTTTCCAAAAACAACCAGAAGAGATGTAACTAGTAATAGACTTTAAAAGACGGGAAGTGATCTCTTCTGGTGATGTTATTTGTAAATGAAATGGCAGATATTTTTCATGTAAAGTGTTTATATCTAAATTTACATCTGTGTTGCTCCAAATACATCTAATATGAGCCTGAATCTGATTCTAAGTGTATTGAGAGCCATTATATGGCAAAGGAGTAGCACAGACCCATTTGTAATTAGAATGGCATGCCACATCTAACCTTGATGTTTTCTATCTGGGTTCCAATATGGAGTAATGCCTCTTCCAAAACATAACTCTATCTACTAATCCTTTATCTATATATTCCTGAGTAAACAAGGCCAAAGACACATTTTTTTGGAAAGAGAATTTACATGATATGCAGTATGTACTTGTTGAACTAATGCAGTAGTAGAGGCTACCACAGAACCTACAAGAGATATTAAAGCAGTAATGCCAAGAATTAGAACAGCAATAAAACATTTAGATTGTGAAAGAGCAGAAGATAATTGATCCAAAGCACACATTACGGGATCAGTATGCCACAGCTGAGTAAGAGTCAGTAAAAACATTAGGAGGAAGTAAAACATTAGGAGGCCGATGAACGACAGCAAAAGAAACCAGGCCCCAAGAACTATTAGTACAATTAGTAATAACACAATTCCTACAAGTCATATTAAAGAAGGAAGACTGAGTAGTAACTGAAGAATCACCCTAATGTCCTTCAGCTAATATAGCAAAGGGAGCAACAACACACGCTTCAAGACCCGAGATAACTGGGGCTGCCTGGAGGGGCCTAGTAAAAAATAATTTTTTTAAAATTAGTAGCAGCAAATAACTTATTAAGATGTTTTTGTCGCATATACTTATGAAATGATGTAGTAGCAAAAATAGGGATAATCCATCCTCCTGTAGAACAATTATGTATATGGTGAAGTGCATCTGAACCATATTTGGACCAAGTAGAATGCTGTCTATTAATATTTAAATAAAATTTATAACTATAATCAGGACTTGAAACAGACCAATCCATTATAAAATCACTAAGGTCATGAAGTAAATAAGTAACTCTGTTTGTAGGAAATATGCAAGACAACCAAGAAGGAAAACTATTTTCAGGAATTGACACAAAGCTGTTGAATTCACTTTGGTGAATCTCCAATACAGTTACTACTGTGGGGATCCAGCTACATGGTATTCTTGAAAAGCAAGTGTGTAAGAGCAGAAAAATCAAGGATGACATAGTCTGGGTACAGAGGAAAGGAGTGTCTCCAGAAGGGCACCAGGTACTTGGGTGGGGTCTGGGTCCATAGACTGATTGTGATGGAGACTTCATGATTATATATGCTTTTAAAATTATTGGAAATAAACAGCAAATGAATAAATTTTAATGAATGTAAATTACATTTTTAAAATCTCCAGCTGGCTGGGCAGTGGTTGCACATGCCTTTAATACTAGTACTTGGGAGTCAGAGGCAGGAGGATCTCTGTGAGTTCAAGGCCAGCCTGGTCTACAACAAGAGTTCCAGGACATCCAGGGCTACACAGAGAAACCCTGTCTCTGGAAAAAAAAATCAACGCCCCCCAATAAAAACCCACACTCCAACTGACTTTAACCACCATATTTTGTTCATTTTTAGAAAATTCCAAGATATCAGGGAGTCTCAGTTTACACTAAGGAAAAGGCTGAGAGAGGACTGGATGCTTAAGCTGAGGAGGACAGGAGACAGAAAGGGGCCAAACAGATTTAGAAGCAGAGGTCCCAATGGTGAACCATTCCAATTCTCCTTGAAACAGGATTCTTTCCAGTCCAGAGTTCAAGAAGTGACTGAATTCGTTTCTTTTCTCCTATGTGAGCTCCCTGCCTTTGTGCTGTGCTTGAAGATGTAACTGACATTAAATATGTCTGCTAAATAGCTTAAATGGTTCCTTAGATTCTCATAGCAGAAATACGTTGTATCAATTCCTCAGGTTTATCCCATAACTTAAATTATTTGGGGGTCTTTTGAGCAGGGAGTGTTAAAGTAGTGTTTGAGGCCATTGAAGATACCAATGTTTGGTTGAGTCCTATTTCATTTTGTCAAAAAGAATGGAATCTGTTGTCCTGGGTAGACATGACATACCATTGTGTCCTATCATAAGAATTAGTCATGCTGGGCCTGTCACTCACCTGGCGAAGAGACCACCCCTCAGGAAGGCTGATCCACCCAAAGCCATGCTAAAGAGGTGGCAGGAGGAAGTATTTTACTGAGATAATGTGCTTTTGCTTCCCTGAAACTCCACTCTGGTCACACGTGGAGCTGCAGTCAAGCAGTCTGTGAAGCTTGCTTGCTTTTCTGAGTTCTAAATCAGAAGATCTTAGCTTCTCCATGTCCTGATTCTCTATCTCTTTAGGATGCTGGCCAAAGTCAGACTCCTTCACTCTTTCTCTGAACCTACCTGCCTCTCCCGTGGAGCTGCTTGCTAAATGTGGGGTTCCCCAAAGTTTCTGGGACAGCATATACAATGTCCTTTGGAGTTTGGCTCCATAGAAACTTCTCAACTCTCTTTCTTTCCAGTTGTACATTAAACAAAGATGTCCTTTGAATTCATTGCATCAAGATTTCTACAATGACTTTCTTTTTCAATAATGTAATATCCAACTTTGCTTTTAAATAGTCCCCCAAAACCTACTTGGGTGTTTTGCTTCTGAAAGTTATTTATTTACTTATACATGTGACTTTTATTGTTTGCTTTCCTTACTTGTTTTTCTTTTTTGAAATTAATCCCTAAATGTTCATTATAGAAAATATTGCACATATCCAAACAACAACAACAACAACAACAACAAAAAATCCCAAACAGTGTGATAAATTCTCTGCCTGGGCTAACGTGTCTCACAGAAATATGGGGTGTGTATGTGCTTCTGTGTGGAGAATGAAAACGGTTTCAGTTACGGGACTATTTGACCTATCTGAAAAACATCTACATTCTTCATGACCTTGATATTTTTTTGTAATTATGAACAATTTTCCAGGAAGCCCATATTCTTTCACTAAAACAAACAAGCAAGCAAACAAAAATTAAAGTAAAGAAAGAAGAAAAAAGTAATAAAATAAAATAATGAAATAGACAGTTTCCAAATACAGAAGATAATTTAATAAAAACCCTGCAAGATTATTCATTTCCATAATTTTCCACAAACTGGAAATGCCAGAGGATTTGCTGGAGTGGGGGCTTAGACGCCCATTACACCCCCCCCCCTACCTTTCCTTTGAACCACTGTGGATCTGCAAACTACAGGCCCCAGTCCCACAGGGAAGGTCCTTAGCTGTGCACATTGAAAGATGTGCTGTTAGAGTTTCCTTCACTCTGGGACATAAGAAGCATGTTTTACAGCAACCTCTTGTACTTCACCAGAGTGCAAATCACCAGATAGAGAGTGGGCTAGCAAGCTACTCACGTGTGCGCCCACGTACACACACACAACAAAAGAATCAAACAAAACCTAAAAAATATGCTTTAGGCTCATGAAATGGATTAATTATTCAATTCTCTTGCCCAGAAATACTTGAGTGTTTTATACTTTGCCAGAGTAACTAACATAACAGAAGCCTCCAAGTACCTCCACTTCTACTGAGACCCACCATGACAGGCTAACAAGAAAAAGGTTCAGCTCCTCTGTGAGATCCTCGTGAAGCTCCTCTCTGCCCTTTTAGTTTGATTCATATTGCATCAAATACATACCCGTTTCTTCCTCCTGAAAGAGGTCTGTGGCAATGGACACTGTCTCTGGCATGCATGTGGAATCCTTTGTATCCGCTGCCCCAGGCATCTCTGAGCTGAGTCTCATCTACAGGAAGACTAAAATTGAAACTAGAGAGGAAGAATTACGGTTTTCAGTCTTGGGCAGTTCCAAACAAGTCTGTTGGTAACTCCACCCTGTTCATCAGGTGGCTTGTTAAGTTTCACCTCTCTAGCAGAATACTGGCTCACACCACACAATGAGACAAGGAATGAAGTGTACTGTAAACAAAATAATCAGAACAGCAAAATGTATCATTCAATAAGGCATGGTGCTTTTAGTTTTAGGAAGTGTTTGTTTATTTATTTGTGTTGGAAACAGGCTCTCACTGTGTAGCTGTGGCAGGTCTCAGACTCACTAGATAAGTGAATCTCAGAAGGATACAGCATGCATGTCACAGTGTAACAGAGCATAATAAAGAAATATGAGGAGACCGTCTGTGGGGGGGGCTAGTCATCCTTCTCTGCCTCTAGTCCTTGGGGACTGCAGATCCTCATGGGACTCATTCTTTCTTTCTCAAAAAACAAAACAGAGGAGGAAGATGATGGAGGACTCCTCATCCCATGGAACAGATTAAAAAGGAGGACTTGCCCAGGCACTGGGACCTCGGTTGGCTTGTTTGTGGGCAGTGCAGCTACAGACATGCTAGAACAAGGAACTGACAGGCTGACTCTGGGCCAGGATCTGTCCATGTACCCTGTACTCTGAAGGGGACCCAGAGAGGTGTATGTACCACTCCCAAATAATGCATTATCAGGCATTTCTCCTGGCCTAGCCTGTATCTGATTCTGTAAAACTTCACCCACCAGCCCAGCCAGCCTGCTGCCAGAATATAACCCAACAGAGACTCTCCAAGATATCAGCCAAGTTAGGGTCATCAGACTCCACTGACCAAATGGATGGCACAGCAAGGTATGGTGATGTTTCAGTGAATGTGGACAGGGTCTCCAGGCAACGAACCCTGTGAGGGGAGTTACAGTCCATGAGCTGCTCTTGCCCTACCTCATTTCTAATAACTATGCCAATACCCTAAGAAGTTAAGGGAAATAGACATAGAGCCAAGAGATGAGCAGTACCAATTATTAAGAGTAAGTTTCCAGGTTATGTTGACTATAGGACAAAGGTAAAATCCTGGTATGCCCCCCAGAGGGGTTAGAACAGTAGGAAACACCAGCTTTGGCTGGTGAGTTGATCATGAGAATCCAGACACTACCAGATGTAAACATTAATCCCAAGAGACAAAACTGTCTCTCAGCCTGTGTGACACTGTAGCTGAATGTACTGCCTACTGCGCATGCTGTTCTACCTGTGGGTGTGTCTAGTTAGAAAAGTTCCTGTAGTTTGTCAAACTCTTACGCTTCTGATGATAGAGATATAGTTCAAAAGGGTAACAGCTATCCATGGGGCGGGGGGAGCAGAAGGGGAAGAGACAGAGGACAAGCTGGTAATAATTATAACCAGTTTTAGAAACTTAAATTTAAAAAATGGGTTGTTAAACAGTTCATACGAACCATTGAAACTGTATAAATAAAGATGGATCAAACTATTCAGGGCCGCTTGCTTGAATGAAAACTGGCAGTCACAGTCTCTTCTTGATGCTGATTCCACACCTCCATGCCAGGTCCCTGAACCCTCCTGGAGCAAGGTCCCCAGCACTAGTGGTTGGGGTGAAATATAGACTTGAGCACTTTAAGCTGTTGTCTCAGCCTCGGCCTGGGCCTGGCTGCCACCATCCTTGCCCCTGTGGCTGCGGCTGCTTCACCACCAACCCCACTTAGCTTTCATGGTGTCAGCTTGAAGCATTGAAGATTTGATAAATCTTGACTGACTTCAGGGTAAAACTGAGGTCAACCTGACCCTCAGCAACATACAGTACTTAAAATGAACTTTTGCTAAACTGTGCTCTGTTTCTGTAACTACAAGGAGTTTTGCTCCCAGATCAAACAGAGAAACTGTGGTAATACAACTGTGCCCTATTCTTATTCAAAGTTAATATTCTGACTTGCTTGCCAACAGCCTCCTCAGGTGCTCCCCAAAAGCACCGAATTTGCTGTTTTTTGCCTTTATAAACCCCCGTTGCTCACTTAGCCTAGGCCCACTGAGAAAAGAAGCTGTTATAATCAAGGTTGAGAGCAGCAGTCTATGGATAAAACACAGATATTTAGAAAGTAGTCTGACAGCATGACTATTTACCAGAACAACGATAGTGGGTTCCTCCTTAGGGTCCGTAACCTCCATAGTCGTGGGTTAAAACCTATTTATAACACCAGGCATGAATTCTCTTGCGTGGAGTAGGAGGACTCAAATTCAATTGGAAACTAGTTGTTCACACCCATAACATTCATACCAGTATTGTACCAGTGATCATCTTGTGGGGTTGACTGGTGTTTTAGGGCAAAACCATTTTTGGCTTCTCCTTCAGCAATATGCACAGTGCCTTCCAGCATTATGAAAGCTTACCAGCAGCTTGGAGATTTCCTGGTCAATTCAAGACTATTTTACTTTTATTTTATTTTATTTTATTTTATTTTATTTTATTTTATTTTGGTTTTTCGAGACAGGGTTTCTCTGTGTAACTTTGGACCTTTCCTGGATCTCACTCTGCAGACCAGGCTGGCCTTGAACTCACAGAGATCCACCTGTTTCTGCCTCCCAAGTGCTGGGATTAAAGGCGTGCGCCACCACCGCCCAGCTTCAAGACCATTTTTTTTTTTAATGTCCTGAAACCATGTGTTATTTTCAGAAATAGAGTCCTGCCTTATAGTAATGGTGAACAACCAATCAAGAACAACGGCAATAGCCTGTGTTTGGGGACCTCTGGGTTTTCCATACAAGTATCTTATAGGATATCCCATATCTGGACCTGAGATATTGGTTTAATAACCCATGTCTTCTGGGAGCAGCATTGCCACCCATGCAGGATTCCTCAGTTCAAATTATTTTAAAAGAAACATCAGTTTTAAATTAGCTTGTGAGTTACTGAGTTTCCATAAGGCTTTCTCATGCATCCTCAGTTTTGGTTAACCCATTCTCTATGTCTTCTCTCTCCTAACGTCCCATCCCCATCATTGCTTGAAACTAACATTTTTTTTAGTTCAATTATTTTATTTTTCATTACAGAATTTCTATTTGGTTCCATATATAGTTTCTACATCTTCATTGGTATAATTTATCCATTCATTGCTCTTCTACAGTTGTTTTTCTGTGGTGTCCATGAACATCTTTATGACAAGTTTTAAACATTCTTTGTCCAGGAACTGGAGAGATGGCTCAGCGTGTCAATCACCTGCTGTGTAAGCAGTAAGATCAGACTTCAGATCCTCAGTGCCATTGTAAGTGCCTGAGGAATGGTAGCCCATCTACAACCCTAGAGCGTGGGAGGTAGAGACATGGGACCACTGGAACAAGCTGGATAACCAGACTAATGGAATCAGTGAGCTCTGGGTTCTCAAGAGACCCTGCCTCAGTCAATAAAGTAGATCATGATCAAAGAGAACACTTGATATCAAAATCTTGCCTCCACATTCACACATATACCATATACATATCCAAAAAAGAAATTAAATTATGTCCCAAGCAGCTGATAAATCTGTGATGCTTTAGTTTAAGAAGTATTCCTTTCCTTTCTTTGGTGTACAATCTTTTGCTGTTTCTTTGTGTCAGCATAAATTGATCTTTTTCTGTGAATTGGGCATCTGAAAAACCAGTCACCTCTCTTAGGCTTGCATGGGCTCTTCATCTGAAAAAAACTTTCATCAGATTGACCTTATTGTGTTTTTCAAACCTATTTTTCTCTTTCTCTCTCTTTCTTTTTCTGTACTGTCTGTCTGTGAACTGTGTCTCAAACATGCTGCTTTACTCTATTACCTGTGGGCTCCAAACTGGGGAAATGCCCTTTGGCAATCCAAATACGGCAAGACAGAAATAGTTCTCAGGTATCCCCAAGCAAACAAACCAGAAAATCTCATTCCTGCCCATTGTTTCATTTCTTTGAAAAGAAGGAGCCTCTCTGTGGTGACCCTGACCAGCAGGTCATTCTTCAGTGACAGGTCCTGAGAAGGAAGGTCCAGGGGATCAGAGATAAAGAAAACAGAACAAGTGAGCTTGGGAGGTCTTGCAGAAGCTGTGTCTTACACCAAGTGAGCTTATTAAGAAATACAGCATCTCATACACTGTTGCCAGGGAGGAAATGGTACAGAGTCAGAAGAAAGCTGTCATGCAATGAGACTAAGTCTGTAGGAAGCTAATCAAACAGAGATGCGCAAAGGGAATGTGGAGACTCTAGAAAGCATGACAGACCAAACACACAGTGGCCTTGGGGATGATTAACTCCAGTCTTGTATGGAGAGAAGCCCCATTTTCAGAAACTGAAACTTAAACTCCTTTGAGGCCTGGACCCAGCTCCAGACTGGCCTTGCCACATTCAACCCTGAGCCAGGACACAGAACTAGGTTCCCTTTTCCTTTCATCAGCTCTGAGAAAGCCTTGGATAGGTCTGGCTCTCAATAGTGTGGGAAGTTTCACCCCAGACCTTCTGCAGGATGAAGCACGAGAGAGCTGCACCAGCTGCCCACCCCCTTCTCTGTAATGTATCTCCTTGGTTTTAAAAAGGGCTGGGGCTGCACCTTCCCAGCCACTCTCCAAACCTCCCACAGGGGTGCTCTCCTCTCTATGGCAGTTCCTAAAGCAGTGCCTCTGTGGAGAAGGAGGGCTTGTAGCTTCCCAGTGAGCATTCTGCTCATGTTGGTCATTCCTTTGAATTTTTAGCCCAGAAGCATATGATTTTTACCCCCAATGACTATTTTCTGGCCCATATTTTTATCTTCTTGCATAAAATTATTTTATTATGACATTCATTTTCAAATTTGAGAGTGCTATTGTTTATATTTTACTCTATTTGTTTTGCATCCCAGCTCCCATTATTAACCTAGAATGGTTTGAGATTAAAATAGGCTTCTAATTAAAAACTTGACTTTATTTCTTCTTGATACACACAGTATTACTTTCTCTACTTCCACACTCTAAAACCCAAGATTACTTAGAATCACTCACCATTTGATTTACT